ATGGGCTTGGCGCAGGCGAGCTCGCCCACGAGCGCGCGGAGCTGCGCGCGCGGCGTCGCCGACCCCACTGGCCCCAGCGCCGCGCGCCGCGGCGGGCGCATGAGGGAGCGCGCCTCGCCGCCGACTGCTGCCCAGAGAACCCGCGGGCGCCCTCCTGACAACTACCTGGTCGACGCGCCCCCCCCCCCCGGCGTCGCCGCGGCCTGCCGCCGGCCAGCTCGCGGCCCAGGTTCCGCGCCCGACGGGGGGCGGGGGCGCCCGGCCGCTCGAGCGGGAGCTCGGCGGCCGCCAGCGCGGCGGCTGAGTCTGCCACGGGCCCGAGCCTGGTCACGCTGATCGGCGCCATGACCTCCGCGCGCCCGCCAGGTCCTCGAGCGCGGGGCCCAAGCCCCGCGTCAGCTCCTCTCGCGCCCCCCCCGTCGGCGGCCAGGTCGCCCACCAGTTGCCAGTCAACGCCGCCAGCGGGGGAGCGGCGCGTCCGCTGCCTGCCGCAATGCCCCATGCGGCCAAGGCCACGCGCGACGTCGCGCCGCGCGCCCGGGCGGAACGCGGCCCGGCATAGATGAGCGCGCTCCGAGTGGCGACGCCTTCAGGCCGCTGCTGGGGGGGGGGCAGCCTGCGACGTCGCCAACTTGCATTGCTCGGCGCCCGTCAGCCGACGCGGCTGGGCGCCGGCGGCGGCATGCCCGCGTCGCCCCAGACCCCCTCAGGCCCGCCGAATCTGTGGGCTGCGACCGCCCCCGTGCAGAACGAGCCGCGAGCCTGGCCGCGCCGCTCGCGGTCGACGCGCAGGCGCCCCCGCCGCGCCGTCTCCTCGGCCATCAGGGAGAGGGCTGCCGCCCGTGGGCCGAGACGCTCGTCGGACGCGAGCATGAAGTCCGCGTTGAACAGCTCCGCGCGCTGCTGGGCACAATGCTGGAGGGCCGAACGCGCGCCGTTCACCTTGCGCCAAGGTTGCGCACGCGAGCGATGGCGCGGCGCGGCCACTGGCACTCGCCAGCGCCGGGGACGGCGCCAAAGCTGGGTTGCGCGACCCAGCGGGCGGCGCGAGCGCGCAGCCTGCGAACGTGCTCGGCCCATCTGGCTGCCGCATCGACGGCGCGGGCCTCTGGGCTGGGCCTCGCCCGACGCGGGGCAGGCGCCCGGCGGGCATCCCACCACTCAACGCGCGGCGGGCCGCCTCGGAGCTGACGCTTGGCCGCGCGGAGCGCGTTCAGCTCCGCTTAGACCCCCTGCGCGGCGGCGCCCCGCGCTTGTCCCTGCGCCTCGTCGTCGCGCGCCTCCTCCCCCAACCGGCGCCGCGCCTGCCCCCCGAAATCCTAGCGCGGGAAAGGCGCGCACCTTGCTGGCGGCGCTGCCGGCGGCGGCTTCGGCTGGCCCGTCGTGAGGGGCCATCTGGGTTGGTCGGCGCCCTGGAGCAAGGGCGCGGGCCAGCGCGGCCAGGCGTCGACAGTCTGGTCGACGACGGGCGCACCAGGCACGCGGGCTCGCAGGGCCTCGGGGACGATGAAATAGCCAATGCAAAACTTTGGCAGCCGACGGCGAGAGCTATGACTCTCCACGAATTGTTACTGACGCGTCTAACCTGTTGAGCCAATCATTGCAAACCAGCTGAGCCGCTTCCACGCTGAAGTCGCTTCCTATCTCTATCTTCCGCGGAACACTGCAGACGCCAGCGAGGAGGCGGCGCTGGCTCTTGACAGCCCTTCTCTCGTGGCCAGGAAGAGCGACGCGCGGACGACGCACTCGGGGATTCCCCCGCACACTGGCGCCGCCGTAGCTCGTCCAGCCAGGAGGATGCCCCCACGAGCACCCAGCACCTCCGCGACCTGGATGTCGAACTCAGAAAAGACGCGCCACCTCGGGGGCCAGTCGCGAATTGCGACGAACGCGCAGGGGCCCGCGCTCCCCACCTCGAAAGTGGCCAGTTTGCAACCGAACTGGCGCGAATCCTGGTTGAGCGCCACGGGCAATATCGCCTGGGCCAGGTGCTTCTTAAGCGGCCCTGCGTTGGGCGCGCTGACGGCGGTGGCCATGTCATGCCAAACGCGCCGGTCGCTGTCGCCGTCGGCTATGCGGGCGGTCGCGGGGGCGCCGGCCGCCACTCCGCGGAGGGCCCCGCGCGGCCTCTCCACGGGGGCATCGGCACTGCTACTTGGAGGGCCCTGCGCCAATCACTTGTGACCTGGGTAGGGGCGTCGCCCAGCCCTCCTCGGTGGGACCCACCTAAGGCGCGACTGCCATGGCCGCCGCCGCTTGGGTTCGCCGCGTGGTCCGCCTCGGACTGCAGACGCCCCCATCGCGGGGCCGGGCCCGCCTCGGCCCCTGGCTGGCGGCTCGGCCTGGACAGCGGTCGCGGACGGAACGTCCACTGCAGCACGGGCGGGGGCGGCCACTGCCGCGGCTGCAGTGGCTGAGGCACGAGCTCGCCTTCGAGCGCCCTTGTCGCGCTGGGCTTGCAGCAGTATGATGAGCCGCTTGACGAGAGGTGCTGACAGTTTTCTGCACTTAACTCGGGCTGTAGGGGGGCTACAGGGCTCGTACTCACACGAATCGATTCGGAGACATCAGGCGCGTCCGCCTGCCGAATCCAGAGCTCGGAACTCGGTGTGCTGGCCGAGCTAGGTGCAAAACTATTCGTATTCATGCAAGCGGATACCTGGCTCAGGATCATCCGGAAAATCAACCAGTGCCCGGCGCAGGAGACTTTCGGCCCCGTCCAGCTCGACGGCGGCCCTGTCGACGGGGCCGTGGGCAGGTGGAGCCCCCCCCATGCTGGGCACCACCTGGTGGGGCAGGCTGGCCAAGCGCGGCGGGGCCCACGACGCCCTTGCCGAGCTCCGCAAACTGCGCGACTGCCCCCTTGATGTTGCCGCGGAACTGCGCTGGTGCTTGTCCTTCATGGGCACCACCATGCAAGCAAGGATGTATTGCCCGCTTGCGCGGCCACCAGCAGGTACAGGATTCCGAGGAAGAGCGTGCAGCAGTGTTTCCTGTTGCCCCCGCAGGTCGGGAAGCGCATGGCGTTGCGCGACCACCCTAGCCGCCTGGTAGTGGATTTCGTCCTGGATGGTCTGCACATTGTCCCTGGTGCGGGCGACGCCGTCTTCGCCGCTAAGGTTGGCCTTCTGGGTTTTGCCGATGCGGCCTTGCAGGACCTGGATCTGGGTACCGACGGGCTTGGCCTGGGGCTCCTCCTACTGGAGTTTCTCCTTGTCCTCTAGCAGCTGGGAACGCAAGTGAACCACTGCAGGTTCAGTGAGCTGCCCCAGCGTAGCCAGCGCGCTTCGAATCTCCCCCACCCGACGTCGCCGACGGACTCCCGCCTGAGGGTCGCCGAGGCCTGGAACTCGCCCATGCTGCGTCGGTCTGCAGTCCCGTGGGCAGCAGCGTTTCCACCATGGGGCGGCATGCTGAGCTTGGGATTGAATCCCACCAGCTCGGTCCGAATGCGCTGCATCTCCGCGTCCCTGGCCTTTGCGAAATTGCCCAAACCGGTCCTGCCCGGCCTGGCGCCTCTCCACGGCCCACGCGGAGACCCTCGAGGGCAGCACCGAGATGAGGTCCCTCTACAAGAAGGCGACCCCTCTGGACGGGCGCGCGAATTTGACGCAGTTTTTCCCGCCAGGTCTGGGGCCTGCACAGAACCAGCTGTGCCATTTGGTGCGCAGCTCGTCGCGACGGCTTGGCGCCGCTCCACCGCCATCGCCGAGGCCGCCACGCCCAGCGCGCGTTGCGCCACCATTGCTGTTCCACGCGCTGTCCGCCTTGGCTCCGGATGCAAGGCGCCTCCCTGGAGCGCAACGCAATCAGGAACCCGCAACGGGACGACGGCCACGCAGGCCGCAAACAGAGCAGTGAAGAAAAGAGGACTTGGCTCTGCCAAGCGCATCCCTTGGTGCTCGGAGCGCCCCGTTGAGACTTGCACCCAGTGGGAGGGTACAATGGGTTTGAGCCAAACTGCTAAGGATGTGTGTGTGTGTGTGCGTGTGTGTTTGTGGTTGTGTCTGCTTTTGTGTGATTGTGTTTGCGTGTGCGTGTGCTTGTGCGTGTGTCTGTGTCTGTGTCTGTGTCTGTGTCTGTGTCTGTGCTTCTGTGTGCGAGTGTCTCGAACCCTGTGGGCCTGCTCGACAACATACCAATGTGTTCTGCGCCGTTTTTGTGGCCTCTAGGCTGCTGCCCAAATCGAGCACCTTCTCTGGCCACCTTCGGGAGGCTGAGGGGCCGCCTTGGATCACGGTGACCGTCTTGATCCTGGAGGCCTGGAAATGGGCACCAACACCAACACAGGGGGTTGCCTCCACAGGGGGAAGAAGATCCTAGATGTCTGTGCTGGTGGTAGTATTCGGCCACCTTGGAAGCCAGAAGATTACCACCATCACCGAGATCGGGATCTTCTTCCCGCGGTGGCGGCACGCCGCCGAATATGGGTGTTGGTGTCAACCTCTGGGCCTGCGATGATCCGCCTGGACGCTTCTGAGGTCCCCCTCGGAGATGGTTTGTTCGGCATCCACAGTCAATCACTGCAGCCTGGCGTGCCAGGGCTTCCCCTCTGCTCCAACCATGAACGCGTGCGAGAATTGCGGCGGAGAGGTTCACCCCCTCTGGCAGGCCGACAACAGCAAGCACAGCAATGGTGCAATGGCGCACGTTTGCAAACCCACTACGCAAGGTATCTCAAGACTACCTTGATTGCGCGGAGAAGAAACGCGCGAGAACATGGATGGTCAGCGGGTGCGCAAGTCGCAAGTCGGTGGTGCGTGCGGCGGCTCAGGAAGCAACACGTGGCAACGCCACACCAACCATGACGGACCCGCAATGAAAAACAAGGGCAGTCCCCGATTCTCCTCGATCCCCTACCACTGAGGTGTGCCCCTGGACGCACGGGGACCTCGCCTCCCCGGGCTCCCCGAGTTCACAAGCCTGCCTGTCTTCTCGGCCGCTGGCGCCGCCATGGCCACCATGAGGCCCTCCGGCCCGAGCCGAGCCGAAGCCTGGAGTCACGCGGCCTCGCGCAGGCGCTCCCAGCCAGGCCAGCCGCAGGAGGTGACCGCCCCCCGGACGCCGGAAGAGGTCGCCACCGCACGGGCCATCAGTGCCGCAGAGGCCGCGGGCGAGACCTGCCTCGGCAGCACGGCCAGGCCGGTCAGGTCCGCAAACGCGTCGAACTCGACGACCAGCCGCACGGCGTCCTTCTGCGACGTGCCCCTGACGTAGCCAGTGTCGCCGACCCTCAACTCCCGCCCGAGACGATCGAAATTCATATTCGAGACGACCTTCTCCCCAGGATAAAGGCCTCCTGCGAGCGGCCCCTCGACCAAGAACATCCACGCCCGCATCAGCGCGTGCGACCCTCCAGGCGTGGCCCTCACGTAGAAAAGACTATCGGTGACCTCACCGCTGGAGGCGACTCCTTTGCACCAAGACTGTGTGGGGGCCAGAGCAATGTCGCGCCCCTTGCTGGCATCCACGAACACGGCGATAGCATCCTTCTGGAACTCGACACCTGGCTCTGCGAACAGGATGCCGCTTGCTGCACCGGTCATGAGCGCCGTGGTGAGCAGGGCGAGCTTGAACTTGAAGCCGTCGATCGCCCCGCGCGTCTCAATGCACACGGCATTGCAAGACCAGCGCCTGACTGCCTCACACTGGAGCTCCTGTGTCACGACCACGGCCTTCGTGGACGGGTCGGCCTTGCTCAGGCTCAGCAGCGTCCTTCCGGCTCTGTCGACGCTGGCGCTGTCCGCAACGGTGAAGACGATCGGCGCCTCCTCGGCACCCGCCGCCTCAGAGACGGCGCCCTTGAGAGCAGCCACGTCCTGCCTATTCAGCGCGTCGAAGTAGGCGGGGTTCATGGCGTCGCAACTAAAGGATCTGAAAAGCCTGGTGATGGGAGAACTCTCGCTGGCCTCGTCGTAGCAGGCGCTGTAGCCGCCCCTGCCCGTCAGGTTGTACGTCTGCTTCCGGAAGCACGGGACCCCGCTGGCCGTCGTGGCCGCGAGGGCGTACTTGAAGCCAGAAGGCCGCATGCCCACGCCGCCAGCCGCCGCCAGCTTGAAGAGGAACTCCTCGGCGTTGCGGGTGTCCTGCAGGGCGTAGGGGGGCGCCTTGTCCTTCCAAGCTCGGTACGCCATCCCAACCTTCTCCACCGCTTCCCGCCCGAGATGTATCATCTTATCGTTGATGCCGTGCGCCTTTAACAGAGGGATCAAATATCTGCATGAACATGCTCTTTTGACGGTCCGCGCGGATTTCTGGGATCTGCGCTGGACCGTCTTCCCTGGCACGCGGAGCGCGCCAGGGGCGGCGCCAGGGACGGCGCCAGAGGCGCCGCCAGAGACGCCGCCAGGGAAGCCCAGGCGCCGATTCAAGAAATCGGCGCGGACCATCGAATATGCATGTTTACGCGGTTATGTTCTTCATCGATCCTCTAGACAAGACATTGACTTCAATGAGTTGGGATGGGCCGCGAAGTCCGTGGTGTCGAAGATGTACGGAGTCAGCCTTCGGTGGCAACTCACGGCAGCCTCTCATACTTTCTTGTTGGCTCTTGCGAATCGACGCTCGTCGACGCTAACCGACGCACCGACGCTAACCGACGCTTATCGATGCGAAGCCGACGCTACTCGACGCTAATCAACGCGAACCCACGCTAAATCGGCGCTATCTCATCAATTACGAGACGCAAGCCGACGCTAGTCGACGCAAAGACGGCACTCAGAGGGCACGCCGTGCTCCCACGATTTGCGACTGAATGAGCCAATAGTTGTCGTCGCGCACGAGCAGCACGCTGTTGTACCGGAAGCCGCCCGCCTGCTCCGTCTGCTTCGCACGGCCCCACAGGACCTCGATGCTGCGCCACCTCCTCAGGACGCTCGCGCCCGACGCGGTCGAGAGCGGGCTGTAAAAAGAGAGCATCGGCTGATGCTCAGCGGACGAGAGGAACATAAACGCGAGGCGGGGATTTATCCATATCCACCGCCTGGGAACCCACGTCCTGGCGCCCCAGCGGGCGGTGGATATGGATATATTTCGGCCCCCGGGGGCCCGAATATGTCCATATCCACCGCCTGCCGAGGCTCCGAAAACTGACCCTCCAGGCGGTGGATGTGGACAAATTCCTGCCGTCCCCGCCGTCAGGGACGCCTATCCAGGAGGCGGCTGGAACACGTATACCCTGAGGTGCCACAGCAGGGGTGTAAACACGTTCCAGCCGCCCTGGGGCGGGCGTCCAGGGACGACGGAAGAGTTTCTGCTATGGAAGCGGCCCTGGGACACACAAAACAAATAGACACAAACAACAGGGTTCTGGGTTTTCGTCTTCCCCCCACTTCCCATACTTTCCCATATTTTCTGGGGAATCGTCGATTGATTGTGTCTGTGTGTTTTTGTTTCCTTCCTGCGTTATACCGTTCGTCCCCTAAGATGCGCGTCGTCGTGGGGCAGCTCGAGCGGGTCGTCGGGCTCTCGCTCAGACGCGCAGGTGCCAGCGCCCGCCATCCGGGCCCAGCGGCACAGGTGCTCACACAGCTCGGCGCTAGGCTCGGTGAGGACCCTCGCGACCTTCGGGTCCACGACGTACTTCTCTGCCGAGGCCTCAGTCACCAGCCACTTGCTCTCCCCCTTGTTCGCGGCGTAGTTCTGCACGTCGCTCGGCGGCTTCATCGCGAAGTAGGTGTCCACCGGGGTGCCGGCCTCGACGTTGGCGCGCACGAGGTTCTCCATCAATGGGGCCACCAGCAGCCGATCGATCATGCCAGAGATAAGGATCGCCGCCGACCGTGTTTGCCTCGCGTCATCGGACAGGCGCAGCTGTGGAGCCTGCATCGAAACGGCGCCGACCACCTTGGCCAAGAAGAGGACACGACCCCACCTGACCATGGTCAACACCCCTCTGCCAGGTGGAACGCGTAGTGACACGTGAAAGTAACAGTTATGGGGTAAGCCAGCATAAGGATCCCCCTCGGGGGCTCTCTCAGGCAGTCGTGGCGCAGTCTTGAGCATAGAGGGTCTTTGAGGATACTCCTTGGTCGCTTGGGGCGTACCCGAAAGCCCATTTGAAATGGCCCCCAGCTGAACAGGGCCCCAGACTGAACTGATCCCCAAAGGAAATGGTCCCCAGCTGACCTGGGCCACAAATTGAACAGCTCCCCAGACGAACAGGCCCCCAGCTGAACTGGTCCCCTATTGAATTCGGCCCCGCGCCCGGCGCCGCAGCGAGAACCTCTGGAACCGAATTCAGCGGGCACCGAATTAAGTGGCGTCCCAATGAGAGCGGGGCCCAGTCCAGCCGGAAACAGTTAAACGGGACACCGCTAACTGAGGCTCGGTTTAACTAGGGCTGAATCCACCCTGGGCCCAGGCACAAACACCGAAGACAGCGCCTAAGACCCTCAAACCCAAGACCATAAGGCCCCGAGACCCTGAGGCTCTGAGACCGTGAACCCGCAGACTATAAGACCCTGAACCTCTTGGAACCCAACTCACAAACACCCGAAGGCACTACGTTCGCAAGGCCCGAAGGCCCCGCGGCTTTAAGGCACGAAGGCACTGGGACTGGGCAAGAAGGTTCTGAAACCCTAAGACACTGAGAGCTTGAGTCCCGAAGACGCTAAGACCCAAAGACAAAACTACCAACAGACCCTCAGACCCCAAGCCCCAAGACCTGAGAGCCTAGGACCCGAAGACCCGAACACCCCGAGAACCTAAGGTCCCCAGGCCCCAAGACCCGAAAGGCCCTAAGGCCCTAAAACCCTAAGGCCCTCGGGCCCCAACCCCTTGGACCCTAAGAACCTAAAACCCAAAGGCCCGAAGGCTTCACGACCCGAAGACCCTGAAACCCTAAAGGCCTGAGAAACTAAAATCCAAAGACGCGAAGACCCGACGGTCCGAAGACCCAATGTCCAAATGCCCCAAGACCCCAAGAACCGATGACCCTGAGTCCCCACAACCCTCAGGACCTAAGACGTTCAGACCCAGACGCCCGAGGACCCTGAGACCCTGATGCCCCAAGGCCCCGCTGCCCCGCGCTGCTCGGGCCGAAGACCCAAGACCCCAACGCCCTCGGCTTCGGCCGCTTTCAGAACCCACGAGCCTGACAACCGAAGTCTTTGTGACAGCAAGGCCCGAAGGCCTCAAGAAACCCCCTAAACCCCAGGCCCTAAAAACTCCAAGGCTGAGAACCGACGCCCCGAAGACCCTGGGGCCTAAACAAGACCCTCCGGCCCTGAGGCCCAACGACCCTGAGACCAAAAGCCCCAGGGCACAAACGTCCGAATGGCCTACCCTACGACCCTCAGACCCCAATGCCCGAACATCCCAAGGCCCCAACGCCCGAAGACGCCAAGACCCCGCGGCCCGAAGGCCCCAAGACTCTGAGAGCCTACAACACCCTGAAGGACCCAAGGCCCCAACACCCCAAGGCCCCAACACCCTGAAGCCCAAATGCCCGACGATCCTAATGAATTAACACCCTGCGGCCCTGGCCCTAAGAAACCAGGAGCCCGAGACCCCAAGACCCCAGGGGGCCCGAAGACCGGGCGCTCGAAGACCCTAGGACCGCGAGTCCCTGAGGCCCCAGGGCCCTGCGACCCTGACACCCAAAGACCCTAAAGCCCCACAACCCTAAAGATCCGCAAACCCTGACACCCTCAAACCCTAGACCCCAGGCCCGCACAAGCCCCGGACCCTGAGACCCGAACAACCTGGCACCCGGAGGCGCCAAGGTCCTCATACCCCCACACCCAAAGAGCCTGAGGCCCTAAGACCTCGAGAACAGTGGCCCGCGAAAAGCAATGTCTAGGACATTTAAGAGCACGCGAATCCCTTCAGCACGGGCGTTGAATCCACTGGAACCTCCGCGAGCTCGGACCCGAGGGAGCCGGAGAGAAGTACCGCAGAGCCCAGCACCAGCCCCGAGCGGCAATAACCACGACGCGCCAGGGGCCGCGCAACTCTGATCCATCCCCGACCCGAATCACCGTTGGGCAGCCCGCACAAGCAGCCCCGATCGGCCGCCCCGGGCCAGCTCGCACGGGGCCCAGTTCGGCCCTGGCCCAGTTCAGCGCCCGCGGAGACAGCCCTCCATGGGCCCCCGCGGGCCCGAGTTCACGCGGGGCCCACGCCTTGCAAGACCCAGCTCAGCCGGGGCAGCGCCCGCAAAGACAGCGCCGCTCAGCCGCCCCGGGACCGCGCGCGTCCTGGGCCCAGTTCAGGCGGGGCCCAGCGCGCCCGCGCGCGCGCTCGGCTGGCCGGAGGGGAACCCAGGGGCCCAAACTGATCCTGGGGCGAGATGCGCCTGGCCCCAAGGAATCCTGCCGAACTCGAACCCCGATGAGCTCGGCGGACCTCAGGAGGGCGCATGTAGGCCCCGCCTGGCCACCCCAGGCGCGAGTTCTTCGTGGGCCCAAGTCATCTGGGGGCCACTTCATCGGGGCCCGACTCAACGGGGCCCAAATCAACTGTGGTCCATTCCCACAAGGGCTCAATTCAGCGGAGGCCAGGCAGGACCCAATTCAGCAGTCCCCCCTTGGGCGGTCCTGGAGGGATCATATGACGGAAGCCATTTGGAACTCACGTTTCACCGGAAGCATGGTCACAAACGCTAGAAAGATCCGAGAGCACATGGTTTCTGCGCCTGGCTTGGCACAACCTCGCTTCGAGACTCCCTGGAGCATCTTAAAGACTCTCGGGCGAATTTCGAACCGTTTGGACGCCTCTTGGCCCGTCTTTCTCGTTGTAGCTCTCGGCCCGCGTCGGGCCCCGCTTCGAGCCACCTTGGGCCATGCAGCGAGAACCTCGTCGGGAGAAACTGCCCAAGGACGGAACAATTACAATGTGTCCAGTCCGGCACAGAATCTTACTGAATAATGTACTGGGGAAACCGGCTGACGTCGGAACACCTTGGGCACACACACACACACACACACACCACCCCCTGCCTCAGCAACGCATTCGTTTTCCTCCAGCTCTCCCCATGTATACTCGCGCAAGGGCCCAAAGCAACCCCGCCGTTCAGGGACCTGTAGCACGGCCTTCGGGAAGGACAAAAAACCAAGGATCAACAACAACGACATTTAAAACGCACTGGCGTTTAGAACGAACAACGCGTTTAACCCGACCGCTGCACAACGAAAACTCGAAACGAAACCGGCCCAAACGAGAACGAACAACGAAACGAAATCACCGATTGCAAAAAAACTGAGCGACAAAAACGAAACGAAATTCGCAGACCGCGCTAAAGACAAAACAAACAACGAAAAGGCGCATGGGGCGACCGCTGGGGTCAAGGCGATGTTTCGGTTGGGGCCTAAACCAATTGAAAAGCAAATCAACGCAAACGAGAAACAATGAAAAACAAAACAAGGCTGCAGCGAGGGGCGACATGAGCACAACAGAATGAACAAAACGAAAAACTAATTCGGTCTGCGGCTACTGCTGAAGGCTGGGCAAAACGAAAACACGCAACGAAAAACGAACCACGCGAAAACATGGAACGACGGCCAAGGCCAGGGCGAGATTAGGGCTGACTCTTGGAACAGACGAAATGGCAAACCAACACAACGGCAACAAAAAAGCAACAACGAAAACGAAACGAAAACCAAAAAAATAGCTAGACAGCTTTGTGGCCGGTCCTGGGAAAGAGAAACAAAAATGTCGTTCTGACCCACCCACTCGGGGAGGACAGAAAGAAGGAAGGGGTGAACCAACTCCCACAGTTGATGAGTGCAAATGACGCAGAAGAGAAACGAAGCCGCAGTGCCCCTCAGTCGGCGAGACCGCGCCGTAAGCACTCTGGCTTGAAAGGACTCCGGGGCCGCGGGAGCACGCCCCCCTGCCCATGGCGCCCCGGGGGCGCGCCAAAAATCACCCCCGCGTCCCAGGGCCCCGCGGAGAGAGCGCGAGGCGCGCCAGAAACCAACAACGCC